CGAACAAACTGTTTTCGGGCGCTTGAAGTTGCCGATGAGTTCATTGAAGTGAAAAGGATCATAAACCACAGCGCCTGTGTCTAATGACGTAACAGCATATGCTGTACGATCACAATATAGACAGTTGACTGCATTCAATCGATTACCAAATTAGAATGCGATGAGCCATGCTCAAACACACAAATGCTTTACTTACTGTAACAACAACAAAGCCTTCAGATTTTTTGTCTTTTTTAATGGGCTTAGTTTAGAAAATGCCTTGCTTTGACTTTAAACACATCATTTATGTGATAAAACATTTTCTTCAACAATTATCGTTTTCATAACGTATTTAATGATGAGAATAATTTCGACTTTTAAATTGAATCACATTCTTGAAATGCTTCCATTGATAATACAGTGACTATCAATTCGAAGAAGCCGTTATCAAATGTTCCAATGAAGAAAAAAAACATGATGTATACACACGAAGTAATATGAAATTTATTCACGTACACCCTCATGTGAAATAGTTCACATATTCCCCCTCGATTCGTTCAGTAGCTGCAACCCTCCTCAATCGCCACTTACAAGCGACTGCTATTAATTTTATAATAATTTCATATTTGTGTTGTGCGTGCGATACATCCAAACGATGATAACGTGTGCTTGACGATACGACTAAACAATGACCTTCTGACTACCCCCTTTTTTCATCTCAAATCTCCGATTATTCTTCATTCCATCAAGAAAATGACAAATCAATTTCGAATATTACGTTATTAATAGAATCAAGAAAAGTTTTTCCCACAATTTTCCATTCGATTTATCTTCATTGAATCCGAAAAAGAGAGAGAGAGTGTTTGGTTCTTCGTTTAATAGGTTCAAGGTAATAATTTGTTCGCAACTTCTGCGAATATGCGTCGACCATTTAACTGACAAAAGATTATATTGAGCTACAACAATTGCTTGGGTGTTATTATATTGCAGAAAATTACATAGTAGCCATAACAAGAAGAACTGTTTTGCCGTCATCTATTCCTCGTCCAAACAGAAAACAACACACAGAAGACGAAAAAAAATACGGGCAAAGCATTGTAATCTAATTGAGCACGAAGAAAATCGCTTCCATTTCTTTTCTTTATGGTTTTTGGAATGCAAGCCCCAAAAAAGTATACTTATGAACAGATGTCTTCATCAAAAATAGTTCGTTCTGTTTTTTCGGCTCACTCTTTTCGGGCTGTATATGTGTTGTAATGCACATAAACAACTACTCCGGATATATGATTACATGTGTAATACGGTCGTAATAATTCATTTTAACTATTCGCTGTTTCAAAAACAGTAACCATACAGTACACTCAATTTGCCAAATTATTGTAAAACATTTTATTAACAGATAAAATCTCGCAACTCTCTCGGCTATTCTATTGAATGTTCCGTTTTTGGTGGAAACGAGATGAAAAAATGTTTGTATACTGAATTGTTCCAGTTGATGTGACATTTTCTCAGCGCAATGAGATTTTTATTTCGCGTCATAGAGTCATAAAACCGATTTTTCAATTTAACGCTGAATTAGCATCATTTCGAAGGACAACGATCTCTTGCTGCAACCAAAGTCTAATTATTTGAACTCGCATCATCATTTCATGTATTCATGTCAAATTTGAAATGAAAATAAAATTTGAAAAAATAAAAAAAATGAAATGAACTGCTTGGAAAATGATTCACAGAATGGATGAGAAATGCACAGCCCAAAGAATGGACACGCTTAATATTTTTGTCGTAAAATAAATCCAAGCGAAGATAGTTTCAACAGATCTGTTCCCAGACAATATTCGTTTCTGTCGACACACTGCGTATGTCTACAGGAGACGACGGTTACTTTCTAAAAAGTCGTAAAATCGAAGTTAATGCGATTGTTTCAGGCAATAATTAAAACGCTTGGACAAGCTAAATGACTGTGTTCAATACAATCGAAGAGAAGAAAAAGAATGATATTTTGAATGCATCGGTCTTTGACTCACAATATTTTTTTTTTTAAAGAAAATGAAGTCATAACGGAGCACCAAAAGAATAACTCAGAAGATGTGAACCATCGAATGTCTGCGTGATTTTATTGCCGTTGACATTATGGATCGATGGAAAACTTCTTCTGAAAATGGAGAACGGAAGGCACACACATTAATCAAATGAAGTAAATTCAATTTCAACCGAACTGATTTTTTTGTGTGCGACGTTATTTTTTTTATTGGTCGGCTGTCGATCACATAATTAAACATTTAATACTCTTTCAAATGACCGGCAATTATTTGTCAAACCTCAACTAACTCTGGTCACATCGCAATGCATTTCTTCCGAAGGACTACTCATTATATTTTATCGGAGTTTTGTGTATACACACGAAAGTAAAATTAAAACATCGGTGCGTGACAGAAGCGATGCGCGTTCAAGTGTCACGCTTTCCGTTGATCTTTTCTTTATCGTTTTTTCTCCTTATTTTTGTCCGTCATTTTCGCAAATTTAAATGCAATTTTTCATACTTTTATGAAGTGTTGCGTTTAAATGCCAAATTTATGGCGTTACAATGAGTTCTTTGCACCACTTTAACGATCGCCGTCCATTGTTTTGGCCTCTCTTCATTTCGCGCGGATGTATTTTTAAATTAAGTGTTACGCTTTTATCTTTTGCCAATCGCGGGGCGAGTACGCAGTTTTTGTATCTCAATGGCATGGTTATTTTTGTCTCTCTTTTTTTACATGTAACCAGCAAATTCCTGTCCACATTACGTGCACAGCGTTGCATTTTGTGCATCATAAAAATGTCAAATATAATAAACAATCAAGAGTAAATATCAACACCAATCGACACCGATTGCGTCGACAAAACCCACTCAATTAATTCCTAAGCATATAATCAGATTCATTGCAAAGAAGAAACCGACAGCGACACAGCCGAAAGGGAAAAACGAGCCAAAATGTGATAGCATAAACGTGCCCATTTGATTCACTCGCACATCCACACAGTGGCATCACATAATTATTGTAATCAGCCAACCGTATCTTGTTATTCCGAAATTTATTGGGCACTTCATTCGGTGTTCGAAGCACGCCGTTCCAACGAAAATGCAAACGAAAACGAACCAGACAAAAACTGAAGATCACTTCATTTTTCTCTTATCGCTTGCATTTCACTGTGCACCGTGTAGCAAAACGCTCTCCTGCACAAACATAAAGAATATTTCAAGAGTAGCGAAGGGAAAAAAAATCTGTGCACAGCAAAAGTCACAACAAATACCAACAAAAAAATATAAGTTTCCAAGTGAAGTCGTTTGTACAAACACGCACTTTGTTGGAAAGAAGAAAAAAAAACGTAACAAATTCGTTCGAGAGAGAAAAAACCGCGAGATTTTCAAATATTTTAATCGTTTTTATGACTACTCTGTTAGTCACTGTACAATCGGCATCGACTCGAGAGCACACTGCAACGAGATCGCTTCGTTGAACTGCGATGACTATACTATCAAAGCAAATGTTTCAGGCCACAAATTATTTCGTACCTTTTCATTAAAACATTTGCCCTTTTTGATATGACGTACATAATCGCATGCAAATTATGCAACGAAATGGACGCAATAAAATCACGAGTTTTGTAAAAGTAGCGAGCGATTTTTTTAAAAATAATAATTAAAAGTATTTCGTCTGATTGAAAGACAACCTTTTGGACGATTGAAGCCTTCAATTTGAAGGAAGGAAGAATTCGAATGAAACTGTCCACAGCAATCGATATTCGAGTTTGTTGTGAGCCACTAAATAATAACACTTTCAAAGTCCATTCCCCAAGTGTTTGTCTAAAATAATAAATAACCGGCTAAGTAAACAGAATTACAAGCCTTTTAACAAGGATATTGAAACATATTACACGCTCTTAACATTCATTCTATCTGTTACCAGTTTCTTCGTAGCAAATACTCTATTTATGTGTCTTGGGGTCAAATACAGCTACTCACAGATCTAATGAAAAAAAGTGGTCGGAAATGTATGCTCGCACAGTCTCAGTCGCCGAATGGGCAAAAAGACAAGACAATTCACATAAAGTATTTACACGTATAGAAGCGATAAATTATTTTCGTGTCGAAACAGCGCGAGCGTCGAGCAGGAGAGTGAGAGAGAAAGACCGAAAATGAAATGAAATGTCCGTGGAGTCAAATGCTTGTGAACATTCATTTAATTTTTCGAATTGTTAATGATAAACGCATGCACAATAATACTCAACGTTTATTTGTCTTCATGCCATGCGTATTTTGCCCGTCCTGTGTGTTGTTCGCTTTTCATCGTGCCAATCGTTTGCCTACCTACAGCGCGCCGTATACTATTTCGAAATTTATGGTCATTTAATTTGAATGTTTTCGTTTTTCTTTTGCCTCATTCTTGAAGTAAGAAGACATGAAATGACCAACAAACGACCCTAATCGAATTCCGTTTGGCTGTTTATCTAGTCTTTCTTACCCTGTTGTTGTGTACATACTTCTGTATTGTCTGTCGCAATTGTCAGTGGACTGCCACTGTTTGGCGTGAATGAATTATTGTCGCCACGAATAGCCATTCTACGCTTTGCTTCAATACCGCCGATCGTCGCATATGGAAAAAGAGGCGAAAATACATTGAAAATGAGGAACTTTAAATCGTCAACGTATTACATAATCAAAGAGGACACCAATGACGATACTGCAGACATTCTCACATCAAACACTATGCTATTTATTTTCTTCCTTCTTTTCATCTTCACTTCTGATGAATTGAAAACATTTGAAGAAATTATGAGTGTAGAACACTTCAGACCATAGACATAACTTATGCCAACCGTCTCCATCGAAAAGTTTTTTTCAACCGTAGCTTTGACACAAACCACTCTGAAACAAAACTGTTATAATTCGTTGCTCCATTCGCTTTAGTTCAACCTCAAGTTTTAGTTCGAAATATGATTTTTTTTAAATATTTTGAATTTTTGTTCGTTTTCAGATAATCTCAGCTCCAGGCATTAGTGGATGGTTGGAACCAGTCCCACAATTGATCCAATGGCTCAAGGAAATGAAAACCGTTTTTGTTGATCATGAAGCAAATGTTAAGTGTTGCTTCGTTCACACTGGATGTGTAAGTATAAATCGAATATTCATTCAACAAAGAACTTTTGAAGTTTACAATTAAATATTTTATTCTGTTCAATTTTCCAATTAGATATGGTACGAAGTTTTACGTGACATTCCAGCCGGCGATGAATTATTGCTCACATCGAAAGTTCCTTTAAATCTTAGAGATATGTTTTATGACAACAGTGATAAAGAAACAGGTTGGTTTGTTTTTAAAGAAATGTAAAATTGTAGTTGAATCTTTTGATTCGGAACAAAAATAAAAAATAAACTGTTCACTACTGTTGAACAAAATTGAATGAATGACAAAAGGCCACTATGGAAAATGAAATCCAAATATACGTAATACAATCCTCTATTATAAATCAATAGCTCGTGCGCGCATCAGACACACGAAACCCGATGTCACTGTGGGTTCAATCGAACGGATGGTTCAATCGAACGCAACCACAACAATGAGGAAACGAATCGACTGAACGATCAGAAATGACACCACAATTGCTCGAAATATGTTCGAAAATGAAATAACCGATTTCGATGGTTTGGCACGCGTTCAATGAAGCATCCCATGGAGGCGATTGGACAGAAAAAAAAGAAAAATAGTAGATAAATTGCCCCTATACCAACAGAAGCTTTGACCCATTCGTATTGTGTTAGCTATAAACGAGTGTGTGTGTGTGTGTGTGTGTGTGTGTGTGTGTGTGTGTGTGTATGAGCACGAGTTAATCAGTTCATGCATTATGTCACGCTCTCACCCATCCGCACACCTAAACTCTCTGTGCACAAATTGAATTGACAAATCCATTACTTTACGGCATCGATTCGATTTAATAATATCTCAATTTAACATCATCCCATATTATCGTAATCGTGTGTGCGTGCTATTGCTCTTTTGCGCCCAGCGATATATCGATTCGATTTGGATTTGGCATTCTGTCGATAAATGAACGTACACTCACCGGGAAAAAAAAATTTATTGTCATCAGTTCTGCTGCTGATCAATATCTCATTCTTCTTTGTCTGTCATTCTTCTGGCTTCTGAATCTCGCACACATGTCGTACCGTTTTCATTATGTGTCATATCTCTCTCTTCTGTTCTAAGCGTCTGTGTTTCATGCTGTCTGGTGTTTATTCGCGTGAAAATGATACAACCGAGCAGTCGGTTTAAATAAACAACTGCTAATAATCTCTCACTCTCTCTCTCTCTCTCTCTCTCTCTCTCTCTCGCTCGTTCGCATACAATTCGTTGGAACAATGCTTAAATACACAGTTTTAGCTAACTGACGCATATCCCTCACGCACTACACATTCAATACAAATTGATATTGATCGGAACTGATCTGATTGTAAATGTGTTCAACACAAAATAAACCATATTTTGGCAAACACGACGAACGGAAAAGTCAAATAGATTTTATTTTTGGGATTCTGTAAATGGGTGGAAAAGTGTACAGTGTTCAAACGCTTTTTGCAAGGCATTTTCATGTTCCGCATTTCGATGACGGCGTAAATGTCATTTCGGTAATCATGTCTGCATACACAACGCTGTTTGCACAACGGATGATGATTTAGTTAATTCGCATTTAAGAGCGCTGCATTCGGCTCGGTCTTCTTTGTGCCCGCGTTTTTACTTGGAGACAAGTCAAACGACACACACACACGGAGAGAAAAAAAAGAACCGAATCATCAAATTTATTGTGTTGTGCGGTCAAAGCACGAAATTGGTTTCTATTATGTATGGGCCTGAAATGGCAGACAAAATGTGAATTGCCTGGTTTCTTCGTTTGGTAACGCGCCAGTGAAATATGCTTATTTATTTGCATTGTTCTGGTGTTGTTTGCTTTTGCGCCTTTTGCCTGAACCTCTTTTCAGCTTCTTCTCTCTATACCATAGATTGTGATTTAGCCTCGTAATGGACCATGTTACACATACGCTCTGCATGCGAGTATTCTTTTTCAACAATAAAATTGAAAATTCATACTCTTGCACACACAAAATATGCATGACGTTTTTTTTCTCGTTGAGCAAGGAACGGCGATCGCGGAGGAAAGTAACAAAAAGAGAATCAAAACAACCGACGACAACGCACATGTAAATACATATATAAAAATGAAAAACAACGATGACTGTTACTCTTTCGCTGCAGTTTGCCGTTTTATCGTTAGAGCCGATGTGTCGCTCATGTGTGTGTGTGTGTGGCTCTGTGTGTTTTTCTGTTGCTGATTCGGAGGTTTGCTCCGTTTCTGGTTTACATTTTTTTTTTCGAGAAATTCCCTCGCAACCGAATGCATTACATCTGCATCCATCTTTTCAATTTCAATAATAAAAGCAAAAATGTTTTGCAACAGATATCATTTGAATGAAATCGTAAAATGTGTTCACAGTCTACATATTGTGTCCCAAATCCCACATACCAATCCGACATATATTTTATGCGATAACCATATATCACTCTTGAACTATCGTCGTCGTCGTCGTTGTTGTCGTAGTCCAACTCTATGAATGCATTTCGGTTGGCATGAATATACGGATCTAGTATTAGTTTGTGGCAATTGTGCGCGGTCGCCTTATTCGACCGCCGTGCGCATGTGTTTTCTTCGTTTTGTCATTTTCTGGACACTTTTTTCTTCATTCTGCGCGCTCTCTTCACTCTCCTCCTTCGATTTCAATGGTTTAAGAAGAGAAGAAAAAAAACACACGATATTGTTGTTACGTGTTTGCTTCGTGTCTTGTATCATTTTCATATATATGTGTAACTGCTCAATGCAAGCGATACATGGCACTTGAATATTTGCCATTCGTTTGTTCGTTTCACACTATTTGCGTGTGCGCGCACCGTTTTTTCTCTGCCTTTTTGTTACATTTCATTTTCATCATTGAATCAGCAAATTCTCGACTCTTTTTTTTCTTCTCTCTCGACTACAATTCTCTGTGATCAGATCACGCTATTTCCACTTCATCGTGAGTCTCAATCCAAAATCTTTGGTATACACGCGAAATCATACGCGATGTGTGTTTTTTTTTCTCGTTCGAATTCATTTGTTGCTCTTGTGGTGCCATATTCCGACATCACTTCTTGTCCCAATCTAATGTGTGTTATCATATTTCTGCGGCATATTGTGTGCTTTCGATTTCAACGTACATGAACAAGCTTGGCTCGGCCACAAGATTTGATTTTCTGTTGTCGCTCTGTACCGCACGCGCAAACACCGACGATCGAACGGGCAGAGTGAAGGCTCAACTCTGTATCAATATTGATTTATGGTGATTTTTTTGATGGTAACTACATTTTTCTTTCGTACCTCATTTGCACTATCTAATTATTATATAAAAAAGGCAACATCGATATTTTTCCGCCATCAAACGGCACACACACACAAAATCGAGTAGGTTTCTTGTGACAAGGCTATGCACATATATCAATTCTTTAAATGACACCGATCGAAGAGGAAAAGCTGACTAAAAACCATATACTGCTAATGCACAAATCACCAAATAACAGTAACAACACCCAGCCAAAAAAAAACTTTATCAAGTAACGTGTCGTTGGCTCACTAACGAACTTTCTCAAAATCTACAGAATATGGCAAATCAACATATAATTAATACTCGCAAAGCACGATCTCAATTATATTCCATCCACATGCCATAAATCTCGTGCATTTTTGGGATTGATAAATCGCCCAATCGGCTCTGACGCCCGGAAATGTGATTCACCGTCCTGCGAACGGAATCATAAATAAAATCGAAATTACCCGTTTATTTAATGAACAGTGGCGTTGGTTGGGAACTGCACCGTGAAAATAACCCTTAAAACTCCCAAAAACGCATCTGCGTGTATGATGCCAACCAAATTCGATGGTAGCAAATATAATAATCGATAAATTGATAAAAATTATCGAATCAAACATGTATGTAACCAATTATTTCGAACGTAATTTTAAGCCATCATGCTTCATTATGTCCTTCGATAATGTGGCGGAGCGTCTGCATGTGTATCGATGACATGCATTAATTTTCACCGCCTTTGCACATCGACACCATTAAACTCTCCAACATGAGCATTGCATTTGCACGAAATGATTGTGTGAACGAGTTGCAACGAACGAACGAAATGATTTGTAAGCGTGTGCCGAATCCCATTACTTATCGTCTATCACACACACACCGATAAATAATAAATTGAATTGGCCACACTTTTGTTTGCATAATAATAAAAGTGCGATGCAACAGCGAGAGTGAAAGATGCCTGAGACGAGGATTAGATTGATCAGTTGACATTCATATTACACGGTGGTCCGTGTTTTCCAAACTAAACAGCTTGCTACTGCTGGCACAATGGAATATGAACGGGGCAAAAAAATTTTAAATGATCTTGTCATAAATTCCACCCTTTTTTCCGTAATGACATTACATCAATCCTTTTCAATAGAAATTCAAATTCGGATCTATCACAAAATTGTACATTCCATTTCGAATACTCATTGTGAATTGTAAATGCTGGACCTACACACGATTCGTTTTCACAAATGCATTGATCGCAGTCAATCTGGTTTTTCGTCTATTAGCTCAACACGGTGTGTACGTGATAGGGGTGATGATGTCATTTGAAATTGTTTAATTCACACATTGAAATGCCATCCTTTCAATGAATGGCACACAATAGAGCATCCATTCAATGAGGTATTTCGTTAAAATCGGTGCAGAAAATGCTGCAACCATCACACGCCGCTATTACATTCCACATGCAACAACAAAACAACTGTGTAATATGGGCAGCATACAGATGCATACAGACAACAAACTACGGGAGGAGAGAGTCAATTTCATAATGTTGCGCAGACTACAATAATATGCGAGCGCATTTGTGATGGGGTGAACTCTGGCGTCTGTGTGTAGTATGACGACAGAGAAAAATCAGCCGTGTACAGTGTACACGCATGCGGTGATAAATTGAGGCAACGTATGAAAGCGAAACGATTGTCATGACGCGTTGAGATAAAAGATGAATTGAAGTCAATGGCTTTTGAAGGGATGGGCTGCGTGAAAAGGCAGTGAATTTATCGCCGTTGAATGAGGTTTAATAGAGATATCATGTTTTTACAAATTTGAAACGTGTTTTTTTTCTGCACACGATTACAACGCTCCGTAATGGGCTATATTAATGTATAATTGCTGAATGTTTTGGGGTTTTTAAGTC